CAGACAGAGACAGACATACAGAGACAAATAGAAAGAGACAGACATACAGTAACAGACAGAGACGGACAGACAGACAGAGGGACAGACAGACAGAGAGGGACAGACAGACAGAGAGGGACAGACATACCTGACTTGGTTGAGGTTTTGCAGCTTTATCAAATTGAGCAGTATAGTGGTGGGAATGAGCACCGGATAAATGGATACTGTAACTGTCAAACTGTAAATCTTTCAAGGCTCTTTTATACCTCACATCCAATGGTTCCTTCAAATGAAAACATGTTTACATGGTACATTAGTCAAAATATGCAAGCAGAGGAGTTCAGATAATTGAGTGCTATTAAATATTTAACACATCAGCTGTTGAAAACCTCAAGGAATATGCAAAATAAATACAGCATCAACACATGAGTTGAAAGCTGAGGGTCAGAGATGATACATGCAGGCATGAATAAAAATACTGAAAAATAATCATGAATCCTAGTAGGATTGGAGCAAAGATGATAAAGATGAGGCATCAGCTTACAAAGATGAAGAAAAAGGAGGATAATGAAGGAAAATGGAAAACAACAATAACAATGATGGACAAGGAAGGAGGAGGAGAAGAAGGAGAAGGAGGAGAATGACAATGGATTCTATGTGAACTTACCTCATCAGTGGATAACGTTATATCCATGGAGACGACCTCAGCCCCTGTAGGACTGTTATTGACCTTAGCAAGTTTACTGTGACGGGTTACAGCATCTGACACTAATTCAAATAGTGTAACAAACCCTCTACAAAATGACAAACAAAATAATAAATGAGATGACCTTGACCTTGACTGCAATACATGTTGCTAGGCAATACGGCTATGTAGTTTGATGATGCTACATAACCTGGGAAGCAGCGGTATTTCGATATTGTAGAAGAGATCGGAATAATGCGTGGTATTTTTCAGAATTCATTAGGAAGTTACAATACCGCCAGTTACTACAGTCAAACCTGTCTATAGCGGCCACCCAAGGGACTTTGAAATTTTGGCCTTTATAGACAGGTGGCCTTTCTATACAGGTTCACTAATTTATTCATGAATATTAATTAGTCACTGAATGTATTAAAACGGATCTCGCAACCCCATTTGACACACTATTACACTACTGTACACAGTATCCAAACACTTTATTACAAATAAAAATGTTGATTTTAAATTGTATTATGTAAACTAAAATCATTTCACAAAAAATCGATCATTGCACAATAATGAGTAGTATGAAAATTAAATATTTGAAGATTTGTACAGTAAAGTTGATGTTCAGCAGCAGTTTGAGTCTCATTTCCTACTAAAGAAATCACTCAGCTTGCTTTGCTTAGCTATTCTGAATTTCTTTGTTTCTTTAAATATCTATTGTGTCTGGTAACTGTTCTAATAAATCGGAATGTTTCTGGGCTATAGCAAATTCTTTCAAGGAGAAGGGAGAAGGGAGAAGGACAGTTAGCAGTGCTTTATTGATCCCTACAAAGTTACGTATACGGAAAGAACACTTATCTGTTGTAGTAATGGATCT